TTTTTCCACCAGTATTAAAAAATACAAAACATTTTCTTGAATGTATTAAAATACTTTGTGGTCAAACTATGGCAAGTCCACCCCTCTTTTGTAATGACCCCCATAGTACTAATATTTTTCCTTCTCTGCAGTAAAAATCATGATTCACAAGATGTTGCAACAGTAAAACATGCAAAAATTTACCATTTGTGGTGCATTGCTTCAGAGTTCACCTGATATGCACTGTTACAATTTTCATTCTGAAATTACGGAATAATAACCGTACGGAATAATAATCGTAAGAAATGGGAAGTACTAAACTTTTCGTGTTAAGTAGCTTTATGATGCTACAATCTAAGCATGAATGAGAGTATCGTATTCCAATAGTCCAGGGTGACAAATTGTGAAGTGCATGACACTGGAAACTCTTCATGTGTTGAAGGGAATGATGAAAATATTGTGGTGTCAACACTGGGACTCGAACCCTCGTTTTAGATCGTTGGTCATGAGATAGCCAAGTTAGTTTTCTCAGCTATAATATCTACCTACCTGCAAGGAAATAAGTAGCTTCATTAGGTATGCCTAGTTGGTGCCCTGAAATTCCGGTTGTTTAACCGTATTTGGGGACAGCAGTTAAAGAAAGGTTTTTCCATATAATTCCTATTTAACCACTTTTTTCGAAAAATTTCCAACAGTATGAGGAGGAGGAATGATTGTTTTTTTTTTACCATTACTTATATATTGTTACTGTTATGTACGAAATTTTATTCACGTTATTTATGTATATCGTATGTTAACAATGTAATTTGAATTTTTTTTATCTTAACTAATACATTTTATTTATCAAATAATCCTCTATATCTTCAAAAATGAGATCAATTACTAGAATGAATTGCAATTTGTTACATAAAATTAATGATAAGCTAAATAATTTAAAAATAATTTACATTTTTCATGATATACGCCTAACATTAATTATTTCCAGAAATGTCAATGTACTTGAAAAAATGATCATTTAGAAACATTATATTCATAGCCACATTTTTAAATTAATTTCATTACTTGAAAGTTCAAATCTATTTGCTACAAAAGTGCTTAACAATTTTCCTATAGGCTGAACTAACAATAAAGATTAATTTAGCTCTTAATACCATTTTACTCATTCAGGGAAACTCTAATAATATAGGAATTTTTATGTGACTTTTTCCCCCAATTCAGCTCAATGAAGGGTTAAGAATAGCATTCAATGTTGTAGCTGTTGTTGTCTCAGGCCATCTATGGCCAAGAATTCGACCGACTTCCGCCATACATCACAGCCGTTCACAGCAGATCCATTCATTCATTCATCCTCTGATCGTAATTTTGATTTGATCCAGAGACTTCACTACCCCAGAGGTATTGATTTGCTATGGAAACACGTTTAACATGAACCAGTCACAATTTACTACACGGAGAGTCTTGGGCCGGCTGGATTCAAACTTCATTCCCACGAACGTGAGTCCAGCGCCCTGCCGACCAAGCTATCTCGGCCTGTAGCATTCAATAGCACTCTGAAACAAATTTAAATTATTACAACATCAAAGATAGATAGATACAAGTCTCTCTTATTATATATGCGTGTCTGATTCATCATCACTGAACTTAACCTACAGAAACATGATTTCCTTTCTTGACACCCACTAAGGAAGGACCCTTCCACATTAACTAAGTTGCTTAAAGGGGTTGTAATGTATAATAATAAAATGAAGAGTGTGTTTGCCTCTCATATAACTCTAGAAAAGTTTCCTGAAATTTGTACTGTAGGTGAAGAAGATAATTTGAGACCTCAATCCTAAAATTCATTTAAAAATTTAATAGAAAATTTGACCGTTCGGGTGAGGCATTTTCTGATTACTTTGGTGATATGTCATTGTTTTAAATTAAACTATAGACAAAAAAAAATTTTAAAAAATATTTTAAAGATATTATCAGCGATGTTTACTAGTTTATAGCTCTCATTATTTAAAATGAAGTTTACTGAACCTTCTTTAATAATTAATTACTTATTAGTTGCTATGTCATATAAAGAAAATGGTAGCGTGAACGTAGTAGCATGAGCGAACTTTGCCTCCAAATTAGTATTTCTAAAGTTAACTAAAGAAACCTCGTGTTGATACTTTTCATAGTTATGATTTTAAAATATCTATCTATATGCTCTATCAATGCGTGTGTCTGTAAACCGGATTGTTGGTATACCATTTGCTCTAAAAATACGACCTTAACTTGAAGCTACATGAGTATTGTGGTGTGATCATGGGATCACCACACTGTTTATTTTTCCTAATACCTACTGGGCTGTTTCCAACAGGAGCGCCCTCTTCGTTGCCTTTGCAGGATCTCTAGAGCTCGACTCCTATCTCGTCTTCAGAGATTCTCGCAACCGCTAAGGAGGGGACGCTATTTTGTGGAGATAGATCAGTATTCCTCGTAGATCTCGAGAGAGTAGCTTCTTCTTTTTTTGAGCTGCGTGTATGATTGTTTTTTATCCCCCTGTGTGCTTCAAGTTTGTAATAATTCATATATAGTTTTACTTTTTCAATTCCATAAATTCAACAAATTGCAAATCATCTGTTTCGTAAATTTAAACTGCAGATGTCTCAAATATGCTGATTACATAAATTTAATATTTTACTCTCTGAAGCACACAGGGAGGACTCAACATGTGAATGTGTTGGAATTTTAAATTAATGAGCTTGTCATGAAATCTTATTTTGTTTGAACCTTGATTACTGACTAAATAAAGAAAGGATAAGATTATCGTAAATTGCTTCCTGCGAATCACTCAGCCATGCTGTCCTGTGAGATAACTCCACCGAGTATCAGTTCCTGATCAGGAGATCAATCTTAGGTAAAGTCTGCGCCACATCGTTAAGGGGCACCTGATGAAAAGTTCGGAACCTGGCGATCATCATTCATCTCTCTCCACTATGCGGACCAACGCGGCAACAAGTATAATTGTAAACAAATTACAAAGTCCGATTTTTAGTTTTTAATCGTTAAATTTTTAATACGAAGAAAAAATGGAATTTTCTTGATGGCAGTTGAAGCCAATTATTTCAAAATAAATTATAGATAATTCAGTTTTGTCAAATATTTTAAAGATAACATCAATGATATTTGCTTGCTTATAGCTCTTATCAAAGGAGCTATTTTTCACGTTCTTTAATATGTAATTATTTTTATTCGTTATGCAAGGTTATCTGAAGGATCAACATAATCGTAATAACATAGGCAGACTACGTCACCAAATTAGAATTCCTAAGGTCATCTGAAACCACGTGTTTATTTTGGTTTGTACTTATGTTTTTAGAACGTGTTAGTATAAAAATAAATAATTTAAAATCAACTGTAGTTGAAATAAAAAAAAGTTTGCATTGAAAAGCAAAATTAATAGAAAAATGAAACTAATTTGTTTTGTTGAGGATAAACATGAAAATGAACGGAGAAATATTACTAATTAGCTTAAGAGGAACTTTAAAAATCATTATGCTGTAATTAATGCCAATTGTGCTTAATTAATTTTGGTACTAGATGCTAAACGAATTGAAATAATAAGCTGCGTACTGAAACGCAAAATTTACGAAATTAAGTTTGTTTAAGAGAAAAGTAATGAATCTTCTAACTATTATTTACGTCTTTAATTAGATTTGATAACAGGCACTGTTGGTGATTGTTACAGTTTTAGTAGGTAGCGAATATACTAATGAAGGTGCAAATTCATGATATTAGTATATTTGGTACCAATTAAAACAGCATCAATACTGTTTTAAATACTATATAAAAAGGAAGTGACCAGAGAAATATTGTGATACATCATGAGTTGATCACTAGAAACAGCATCATGTCAGATGAATAATTACACTTCGTCTTTACAACTAAAAACGTACTTAGCTGAACCTAATAGTGTTAAACCACAGGCAATAAAATTATTTTAGCTTTATTAGCTGTGTTACTAAATGTCTTTTAGCTTTTTGTTGGATTGAAGTGTTATTTAGCATTGATATATTGATTATTCTTTTTTTTCACCCTATACAAAAAATAGGAATTCAGCTAGTAAAGAACAAGTTCGGTTTTTGATAAAAAGAGGTTAAAGTGAGAGGTTTCACTGCTTATTTACCCAAAAAGTCTCATCATACGAAGATTGTATTTAAACGCAGCGTTTGCAATTCGTAATTTTATTTTCTGCTCTTTAACGATACTGTAGAAAATTTCATGCATGGAAAGCTCGAGTTGAGTTATTACTAAGCAAAATCACAAAACATTATGAGAGGTATTTTACTGAACATGTACAGAATAGAATTTTTAGTGTTGTTTTTAAATTGCAGGCAAAAAAATGTTAAAATGGTTAAGATGATGAAAAAGCCATCTGACAGTAGTCATGAGTGGTTGCGATTGACTAAAAGTGATTTTGAGATGGATTTGAAATTTACCTTTAAAAATATTCTCTTAAAACTCTGGGTCCAACATATTGGAAAACATTTGGTACAACTTTATCTCATAAAATAGTATATTCAAAGATTTTTTCTGTTTGTATTGCTTCACAAAGTGATTGCTTATGTAAAAATATAATTTGTTCTACCCTCGCTGTTTTTAATTAAAAAATTTAAAGTAGGATTGGAAGTAAAATTCAACTAACCTTTCTGGTGGATTTTGTTTCATGACCAAAATGTGAACAAAATTATCTATAACTATAAAAATATCCTGCAATGTACAAAAAAAGGATTAAAAATTGACGATGATTAATTTCTATGATTTTTTAAAAAAATATTTGATCAAATTTGCTTTTTCCAGAACTTCATATTAAGCAAATAAAGCATTATTTAAAGCTCGGTTCTCAGGAGAAGAATCAACAGTTTAATTTACGAATAATTCTCTGATTGCTCCATTTTTTAGTTTCAAATTAATCTGTCATTTGCTTTTATCACCTGCAAGTGCATAATATTAATAATATTATAAGTTAATATAATTTTTCTTTCTTTCAGAATAAGCATGGCAATGGATTTGTCGAAATTTCACACAGCAGCACTTGTCGCCCTCGTTGTTATCTGTTACAAGAATTCTTTAAATGGAGAATTAGTGTTCGATGATCTTCCTGCAATCAGAGACAACAGAGATATTCGACCTCACACCCCACTCTCCAATCTTTTACAAAATGATTTCTGGGGAACACCCATCAGAAAGGTAAACCGTAAAATACGTTATAAATTTAAAGTAAAACTTATTCGCATGTATCTTACTCGACTTTTCAATGATTCGAAATAATTTAAAATTCCCAGCTGGAAAATCGAATTCTTTCCACCACGGTCAAGTAGTAGTTTATTTACATCACACTGGAGCTGCTAAGTGAACTATTGGTGACGGTCTGGGAAACATCCCTGAGAATGATCCGATGATATGAAATCACAATTTTGATCCTCTGCAGAAGGGATGCCTACCCCGCTTTGGTAGTTCGACGACTTTACGGTGGAACAGTTTAACGAGAACATCGAACCCTCTGTTCCTTCGCAGTCTAATCAAAATGGTCACACATCCTTTCACACGGCTGCAAGTGATACTTTATTTTGGTGATCTGCAGGAAACTGTGTCTTATGATCTGCCCACTGTGGAACCCAATCATGGTCAAACATTTCAGGCCTTTACCTTAAAACCATCATGGACAGAACACAGCGTACTTTGGCTTCGCTTTAACGACGAGGTCCTCGCCTGAGCTTCTCTCCAAAGCCATCCTTTTTCAAACAGCGTTGCTCTAACCGAATACTTCACTTGAACTTACGGCGAACATACTTTTTTATTGAATGATTGCATAGACGTTATAAATACGATTTTATGATGTTTCACCATTATTTACGTATTATCATGAGAAAATAATCTTCCCTAACTGTCACTTAAACTTCACGGAGTGACTACGAATGGGAGAGATTATTGCCTAGTGAATTTTGGACGAGTGCTATAACTGAGTTCACTTTATGAAGGGGGTGAACTTTTGCAAAGAGAAATATTTTGAAAACCTTGAGGATGCGTTGGCAGTATTTTGTAATTCTTATAAAATTCAAATTATTATAATTCATATTTTTTGAATAATATATAAATCAGTTTTATATATTCACAATTTAAAATGACTCCGCAGGAGATAAAGCGCTTCCAATGAAATGAAATGGGTTCGATCGCCCACGCACTCAGTGACACACACAGTGACAGTGGTTCTCACAGTGAGTGATTGTCACAGTCACAGTGGTTCTGAGAAATTTCACTAGTGGTGTGGTTAGAGTTTCTTCGCGGAACATTTCTTGTTTTTAATCTTCATTCCATTGGGAAGTCTCACACGGAAGTGTTGGGTTTTGAATATGGAGTGGACCATATTGCAGGTTGACCTCAGTATAGAAAAAGTGGTCACAGATGTTTCACAAAGTAGTTAGAAATTTCAAATGTTTTAATTTCGCTATCATTTAATGAATTTCGTTGGTAAGTTTCAACGCAAATATATAATAAAATTTTTGGTAGGATAAGAATGATCTGAAACATTTCGCTGCTATCAGTTTTCAAAAACAAAATCAGAATTTATATATGGATCAGTTGATAGTACTGGTGACGCAGTTTTATTCGCAACAAAATGACTAATAAATACAGAATGAATAACTGACGTACTTTTCCAAAAATCTCTCTTTTATTAAATCTTTATTTTCAAAAAATTATTAACTTTCCAGTACGATGACTCGCAAAACTGAATATATTTATTATTCTTTTTCACTTCCCAACGAAGTGAGAAATAGTCGATATGCAACAGTTTGTAAGCTTCACATGTCAAAACACGTCCTTCCAACCACCTGTGACGACAATCGATATTCTCTGTGAGAACTTCTGCATCAGCCACTAAATAATGACTCCGGATCACTCGCAATAGTTTTTATTCATGTTTGTTGTTATAAAGAGGAAACATTTGTACTTAAATGAGAGATGCCATTAATAGGTTATTTTTGTTTAACCAAAGAGAAAAAGGAACTATAAAAATTTATATATATATATATATATATATATATTTATAATTCAGTAAAACNATATAATATAATATAAGAAGCTTCGTTTAATTTTTTTTATGTTATTCCTTTATCTAAAATTCACCGCAACAAAGAATTATTTTCCCTCCATCAATTTAATAGACCGATTATAATTAAGTTTTCCCTAAGACGAAACATTTTGCTGATACATTTTGCAAGATTTTCTGTAACTTTTATGGAGGAGCGCTTGGATTTTGAGTCACTTGGATGATTGCTCGCTCTCTAATAATAATTAATAAATATTGTGCCCTCTTCCTCTGACTAAGACCTGTTTTATTCTTCCTCTCGGTAATGTAAAAATAAAAACTTGTTTGATGAAATTCGGAGGAGTTTCTAGTTATTGCTTTTCAACATCTTATCTCCCTGCTTTCCTAGTCAACCAAACAGTCATAGAGTATCTTCTGTACTCACTGCTGTGCATTCTGATAGAGGTTTTGTCTTTCTTAGCTTAAACTTATATTTTCGATACTTAATGTTTGTACTTTCATTACTTCAATGTTTACAAAGATTCTGAAAAATATATGCTTTGGCTATATTATAATATAAAATATATGTTATGTTGTTTATATTCAAGGGTGTGGCTTAAACCACCTGTGGCTTTATCAAAATCAAATAAAATATCCGTTAGTGGCACATGCTCAATTACACAATCATTTTCTGCATTACATCCATATTACACTCTTTAACAAAGGTATTTTTCAATTGCTTACCATTTATGATTTATTATCGAGAATAGCGCAAATCAATAAAATTAAATACGATGTGGAAACAGAACTAATAAATGGTGCTAACACGAGTGATGCTCAATAGTGGGCACCGAAAAGCAATCCCAACACCAAAGCATTTCATAGTGCCCGTATTTACATAGTGATTAGCCCCAGCTTACCCCTGCGTCTTATAGTGGAACACTAAATCAAGGAAACACTAAAATCAAGGAAATGTTAGAAACAGCATCCATTGCAGTTTCTTGCCAGATGCCCAATGGATGCTCACTTAAAACATTGATTCATATGATAGTATTCTGAATAATTGTATTTCTTCCTCCTTTGGGATTATCTTATTCAACCTCATAATTTGTTGATAAGTTATTGGCTGCACCTTCAGCACCCAGTCATTTTTATCCATACTTCCCCAGAGTGAGAATTAAGTCCTCCTGCTGTGTTCTTTCTTTTTGTTTTCATGCCATTTCTTCTAACATTTCCGTTATTAATTTCATCTTCAACTGCATGAATGAAGGATTTCTCAATTTGGGCTTTGACCAGGTATATTCCCTCTCCAAGTCTCAAACTTAAATTCTTGTTCCTTTTTCGTTCAGGGGCAGTTTCAATGGGTATCCATCCTTTCTTTTTCCAAATTTACTTGCTTAATATCAATCCTGAGGTTAGTAGGGTTCAATGAGTTGATCAAGTCTGACTAGATCTTATTTGATGGAATTTGATAATAATGACGAATTCTTTCAGTTTTGGAGGCTGGGGGGGGGTCCTGAAAGCTTCCTCTTCAATTGGTAACTTCAGAGTAAGATCTTCTATTTTCATTGATTGTATTTGACCTACCTGACTACGTAAGTCAATCATTCTTAATAAAAAAAAAGCAGTAAAAGTATTAAATTAATCACTAATAAACTCAATTGCATTAAGTTTAATAGGAGAAGGCTTGTTGGTTAAAATCACCAAATCGATAATTTAAAATAAAAGCATTAAATAAAATAAAATCTAAAAGCAATTTATAATTAATAAAAAGGGTGAAAATCAATTAAAATTTAAAATAGCAGTAAAAAATTAGAATACACAGTTCAAATACTTGATGAATCAGTCTATGACAAATCAGTAGGCAACAAAGTGATTGCAAAATTCGTTCTCTCCCAACTAAATGAATTGGCATTAAAATCATTATTCACATTCAGAGTAACATAGTTATTCGATTTGTCAATCAATCGGTGAGATTGGATCCAGTTAGTGTAATTATATGTATAATCTATCAATTGATCAGGATGTTGACAATGTCCATTGAGGTCAGCAGATCAGTAAATGTTGATCAAGAAGTTTATCTTCTTCAATCGATCAAAATCACCAAAATGATTCATTATCACAAGGATAAGGGTGGCACAATCACTTGTCTCATCAATCAAGTAGTGACGTTTAATCCAGATTACGCGATAACCACTCGATTAATCACAATTAATCGAGATAATAAGAGTAAATCACCAGGACTTTAACAGCCCAATCAGATTTGCTTATCTCAGTTAACAGTCGCTTAAATTGGTAAAAGTTGAATAGTTAATTAGGTAGATAAATGATCAATAATTCCTATATGTATCGATGTACAGCCAATAATAAAGAATTGTAACAATCAGCAAAGACAGTCAACCAGTTTATAACCAAACATCCAATGATGATCAATCAATGGAATCTGAAGCCGATGATACCTGTTGAGTTAGATCAATAAAAAAGCTGCTTCAAATATGATTCAACATGCATTACTTGACACAAAGTAAACTACTATAGTTTTTTCAAGGTCACCTGGATCAATGTCACGATAATATTGATGTGACGTTAAAAGGACAGATTTGAATCAAACAAGCAGAGCTAGTTTACTTCAATTAATAATGATCATTCAGTTGAAAATAAAGTCAGAAATCAAATCAATAAAAAGTGATCAATAACAGATCAGTTAAAACTGAGCACTAACCTTAACTTCGATAAAATCCATAGTAATTTGTAATCCAACATTATAGCATAACTACACTTGTAAACACTAAAGCAAACTTGAAACACACATGAAAACACGAATAATCGTTGAGATTTACTAGAATGTAAAACATTTCAAAACTCGGTGAAATTAAAAACAAGTAAATTTTTTTGGAAAACTGTTTTGCTGATTTAAAATTTTAACCCTTTGCTGCCGCATTAAGCTTATACATGGGCGTCATGCCGGTCGGAATTAATTTTCTTTGAACGAACAGTAATACATAATATCCAAGGTTATGAAGGAAAAATAAAATTTATTAATTCTTCTTTAAACTTTATCTATAGCACTACAATATGTTTTTAATTTTATATAAAATTACAGTTTATAGTTCTTCATCGTATGGTACCTCTCAAAGCAGTCTCCAATATGAAGCCCTGGTAGCAAAGATAAATAGTTTGGCATCTTTCGCCTTTAATTTTTCTGTTTGAACATTCAGAATAATCTCTACATCTTCAGAGTACCGCAATATATGTAGTTTGCCTAACATCTTTGCTGTAGTTTCTGACAGCAGACATACGGCTGGAACTGTAAAAAAGCATTGGTGGCTGAGAGTAGACATACGACCACAAAGGGTTAACTCAACATAAGTTTCGATTTCCAGAAAATTAACAAAGAAATTGTATTGATGTTCCATGCTCCTTAAAACTATAAGATATTATAAGAGTTTTTGCGATCAAAAATCATACAGTCTTTCTTACCTAATGTTGTCAAAAATGCTGTTGTTTTAAAAGTTTTTAAACAGTCTAAAAAACTATTATGATCAGCAAAACTATTCAGTTCCTCTTCTGCATCTTTACTTTCTTTGCTAAGCATTAAAGCTAAGTTAAGCTGTTCATTTTCAAATCGAAAAACTCTTTCTGTAGGAGATTTTTTTCCCCAGATCCAGAATCGAAATAAAGAGTTTTTAAGACGAAAAGGAATTTTGAAATAAATTTAATTTACGCTAGTTTCAGAATGTAAACAAACATCTGCAAATACTAAATTAAAAACAAAAACTTTATTGCAAAAAGTATTTTTCATAAACTGTTTACTTTATGCGGAATTTATTGAAAAAAATTTAATTTACTTCAATATCATAATGTCAATGAACCTTTGAACTTTGATCAACTTTAAACTTCTCGAAAAACATCGCTTTAAAGGAAGCATCGTTTAAAAACAGATTAAATTTATAGTCGGGATGCTATACGTTATTAAGTTAAATAACCATTGTACATAATTAATGTAATAAACATTTATTAATTATATTTACTGAAATACAAAAGTTCTTAATCTAATTTGTAAATGTACGACACTTCTTTCCATAAAAATGTCATTAAAAATACACCCAACATCAAAATGTCAACAATTCTAAAGAAGAAACTTGAAGAACAAAATGAATAAAAACTTGAAGTAAAAAAATAAGCAAATAAGAAATAATTTCCTTCTTTAGATAAATATTCGCTGCATATAACCTTAGCAAACAATAAAATATGTACTTAATAATTTATCTTTACAGAAATATAAAAGCTCTTAATTTTATTTGTAAAATATAAGATACTTTACTGCAACAGAATTGTAATTGAAAGTAAATCCAAAATCCATCAGAAAGTCAACAAATCTTTGAAGTACAAACATCTAAATTTCCACACAGTGAATTCATATCGAGTGCCATTGCTGGAATTCGAGTCAGTGTCACTTAATTGGGAGGCGAGCGCTCTATTCTCTGAGCCACCACGGCTAAAGACGTATAATTAATATTTTTTGTCAAACACACTCCTTCTCCTCGTACAAGGGCTCAAAGGAAAAACATCTAGGTTACATGAACCTATATCACCTCTTCACGAACAGTTCGCAATCTTAGAAGTGTTAGTTAGAGTGAGCAATCCGTCTTCGTTAACAGATCCATCCCTCCGAAGCCACGAGACTTTGATTTTAACAAAAGGTAAAATTATTATTTAAATTAAAAGAATGAATTTCCTTACAAAGTTACATCTCAGGAAGAAGAAATTATTTTTCTGGAGATTAGTTAAAATTCATGACAATAATCAGATTGATACTTGAATTCCATTTCAAATTCACAATTTTTAAGTTTATTTTCGTTTAATTGAAATCCCAAATCAAAGTTTTTGATGGTTTTCCATTAATGGACCAACATAATCTTGATAGTAATCATCGATTATTCCATCATGAACCATTATATTTTTTGATGGTAACTAACATAAGTAATCATCACCTCAATGTAGGAATTCGAAATGATTTATGATGATCCAGCATAAGAGTAGGAAATTGTTTAAATGGTTTGTTCATGTTGAACTATCCGAAGTTTTCATCATAGTTTCTTAGAAATCAAACGTTGTAGCGATCGCGAACCACCATCACCCATTGTAGGAATACGGACTGATTTATGATGGTCCAACATTAAAAAAACCCAAATTGTTTTGATGGTATATTCCCTGTGAACCAACAAAAATTCCCATTAAACCATCATGTATTGTTGGAATCATCATGGACAATCACTGATCATCATGGATTGTTAGTCCATGACAATCAAACTTTTCTTGGTGATTAACCATCACAGTGTTAAAGTAACATTTTCTATCATGGAATGAGGAAAGTTTGTTGGCATAGCAAGAACCGTGAACGCATAATGGAAAATGTTGCATCATAGTGACCATCAAATGATGATGGTCCATCATGAATTGCACAGAAGTCAACATAAACCATCAAAATGATTTGATGGGACCATCAAGAATTTTGACTATGGATGGCTGAATTACGGAGTACGATCTATACAAGAATTTTACAATTCTCTATCTATTGACTTGTGACATTAGGATTTTGAATCCTCTAGGGTCATGAGTCAATAGATAAACCATTATAGAGGATTCTTTTAATGACCGGCTTAAAGCATTCCCTCTCCTTTTTAAAAAAGAAGAATTCTTCAACAAACAACAATGTTGACGGTAATCTATGTCAAATGAACGTCAGGAAAAGACAAAAGGAAACTGAAAATCACTCTGGAGTGAAAAGTTATCCCATCTCTCAGAATTCGTGTATCTCTTCACATCGTTTCATTCTTCGACCATCACAACACGCAGAACATTTTATATGGAAGTCAGTTTTTCACCAATAGATGAAAAGTGAACGAAGAACGATATAGCAAACAGACTATACAAAGAAAAATGGAAAGTACCAGAGGAAAGAAAACAAAAGTAAAGATTCATTCTCCAAAAAATGATTTTGTATAGATCGATGACTATTGCTTATTTTTAGGTTCTTTAAGTAGCAATATTTTACTTCTCTTTCTTTCCAATTTTTATAAAATGTTTTTTTTTTCTTCTAAGTTGCTGAAGATGTCGAAAGTTTCGAGTGATTTAGTTGCACACAAAATAGGCACACTGAAATGAAGGAGAAGAAAATGCCTTTTATTTTTCCTTTTTTTAAAAAAAAAGCACAATTTACGCTAAATTATTCTAAATTTAGTCAACCTTATTTCTACCTTTTCTCGAACTCTTCTTATTGAAACAAGGCCCATTCCAATTCTAGAGTAAGAATAAAAAAAGTTTCAGAGTCATTGAAACAGAAAGTATCAGAGGAAAGAAAACGAAAGTAAAGTTGTATGAAATTATTTTTTCAATGTTCAAAGTTCGAGATAATAGGTCTAAAAACTGGTTAAGGTTCAGAAAGAGCATAAAAACGGACATAATTTCAAAAATAGAAGGAATGACATTACATATAGTGCAGTCCGAAAAAAGAAATTTTTATTTTATTCTTAATAGCAGTATAATTATAAGGACAGACTTTAAAATTCTGGTAGTGTCAGAGGCTAACATGATTAAAGGAATCAGATTTATTGAGAATAACAATTTGTTCACCTTTATCTGCTTTGGTAATGAAAATGCCAGAATTAAAATTGGGTTTATTGAGGGTGAGGTTAGATTTATTCAAGTATTTATTTAAAGAAATTAAATGTCGGAGAGTATCAATTTGACTGGGAGAAACTTTGTTCTTCTAAAATGTTCATTCTAATGTAGCAATAATATTGAGACCGATTAATTATTGGGCTCATTCTAAAGGGGCAAAAAGAAGGGTTTTTTTTAAAAAATTCTATCTTTCATCTGTTTTCTCTCTCGACTACTGTGGTTTTTCTAGCTTTGTTTCACACCTTTATTTTTCGATTTTTCATTGGCAACTTTACGTTTCATACTTCTTCATATCACTTTTGTATCTTCTCATCTACGTCTGGCAAGTCTTGACAAATGGGCCCCTGTTTTTGAGCACTTGAAACATGCCGACTGTTATGTCCAATTTATATATTTTTGAAGCGAATGGCGTTTTTAATCTAGTAAATCAGTATAACTCTTTATGGGATGTAACATGAAAGAATAAGTTTTTTTGCAAAATAATTTTAAGATAAAATTTGGGAATATTTATCTTAACATTTGCATGGTTTTTATGGAGCTTAGATTAAAAGTAAGTAAATGAAGTAAAAAAATATGTTTATCATGCTTTTTATTTCTAATGCCCACCTGTGTTAGCATTTCGTCAATTCAGGCATTTACAGGGCAGATTTGTTGGCCAATTTTTTAGGGGCACTCTATTAGATGGGACAACGTTGCTCCCACAGTAAAGGCAAGATAGTACAGAGAATGAAAGGACGTCCATGCCTTGTCCGGGATTCGAACCCAGAACTTTTCTGATGCAAGGCCAGTTTCCTGACCCCTACCCAGGCCATTCGGCAAGTTATCATAAAACGTTAAATAAAGTAATATAGTAATACTTCACAATGAAGAAACACCGTTTCCAGTTTTAATTTGAAATGCGTCCTCCACGAAGGCAAATTTGTCCCAATACTCGGTCCAGAAGTTCCCTTGTCTTCCGGATTGGGTTGCTACGGAGTTGAACAGTAGACCCATAAAATTAGGTCTGCTGTTCAGCGAAGGGTATAAAAAAATTGTAAAACAATTATTCTGCCATCTTTGATACACAGTTGTCTTACTTACTGTCATGCCATGCAATGCAAATGTATTGATTTCTATAAATCTTGTAATCAGTCGGACTAGGCTGTCCATAGTATTAAAAGTATAATTATTTTTCTAGTTACTAAAGTTTATGCTTTTTGTTTGCTTTCAGGAGAAAAGTCACAAATCTTACCGTCCGCTAACAGTTCTGAGTTTCCGCCTCAACTATGCCGTCCACGGTCTGCATCCCTTCGGATACCACTTCGTCAATCTTCTGCTGCACTCCTGCGTTTGCATTCTTTTCTACAAGTGAGTGTCCAAAATATACTGAATAATTCATCATTTTTTAAAAAGCTGAATCTGCTAAAAAAGATTCATTTCACACAAACTCATATTCAAATCCAAAAATATTGAAATAAGACAAACTATTGCTTACGATCTTCATTCTAACGTCAAGACAGGTTGAAGAATAAAACACGAAATGAAAGCCTGCGATAGGCGTTGCATCATCTTTTGAATCATGGAAAAAATAAAGCACCGAGAGAAAAAAACACTTAATTATATGTCTTATAATTATTAGGTCTGATTCAATTTGCGTTGTTGAAACTGAATTTAATGTAATTTGATCATTATTTTAATATATTTAGATAATTTTTATAAAACTGATTAACATAAAAAGTTAAATTTGAAATTGAATGAAAAAAACTTTTAATACTATGCATTTTTAATTATTGATGCAATTTTATAATGTACAGTAAAAATGATATATCCTTAACAATACTTTAAATGGGGTCTTAAGCTCCTGATAAGTTTGAAATGCTAACAACAATGATGAAGTATTTAAATTTAATAAAAAAATTTCAAGTGACATGTCTAAAACGAATTATCTGTATATTATTATTAAATCGGAATACAAGTTTAATTATTGAAATTTAGAACAAATTTAAACATGTTTTAGAGCAGTCCGATTCATTTTGTTAAATATTAAGTTCCTTTCCATAAACTTTGAAATAATCATTAACTAATATTAATTTTAAATAAATATCTATTTTAATTTCAATAAATTCTTAATTTCATTAAAATTCAAAGTCCCAAATTGAATTGTTTTGTTTAATTCATATCATTTCTAAGAAAGTGCTTTTTCCAGAGCTTTTTCTTCTGAGGCTTTTTTCCTCCGTGCTCTTTTCCTACCTACCTCAATATTCCCTCTAGGATATGAAAGGGTGCCTTTAAACCTTAGTTTTGAGCGTTACGACACGCGGATGTCAACGCACTGACGTTTTTCCATTGATGGACCAACATAATCTTGATGGTAATCATCAATAATTCCCTCGTGAACCATTATATTTTTGATGGTAACCAACATAAGTAACCATCACCCTAGTGTAGGAATTTGGACCGATTTATGATGGTCCAAGATAAGAATAGCAACTTGTTTTGATGGTTTGCTCATGTTAAACCATTGGAAATTTCCACAATAGTTTCTCAGAAATCAAATGTCGGAATGATGATGAACTGATATAGCCAATATAGCCAATGACGGTATAGCCAATGATGCATCAATGTAGGAATTCGGACTGATTTATGTTTTGCTATCGTAAGAAAAAAAAAACAAATTGTTTTGACGATATATTCCTGAGAACCAACAAGAATTCTCATTAAACCGTTTTGTAAATGTATAGTTGGAACCATCATGGACCATCATTTATGGTCACGGATTGTTGGTCCAAGAGAATCAAACTTCTCTTGATGGTTAGCCATTATAGAATTAAAGTAGTAGTTCGGATTTTCCATCATGGAATGATGGAAGTTTGCTGGCATATCAAAAACCATGAACTCATAATAGAAAATATTGGATAATGCTGACCATCAAATGGTGATGATCCACCATGAATTGCATTGAAACGCACATAAACCATCAAAATGATTTGATGGGAATATCAAGAACTTTGATTTGGATATCATTTTCAATAGAAAACGAACCTTCATTTCTAAGTTTAACAGAATTGCATAAGATCTCCTTATGTGTGATGATAAAGATTTGACCAAAAACTTTTTCTAACTTATTAGTTTAAACTATAACGAATTGAAAAAAAAATATTTTTCCATACATATTTTTATAAACAGATAAAAACATAGATTATCTAAATCTTAGCTTATTGCATTTGTATTTTTTTTCCTTTGATACATTTTTCTTCTTCACTTTCAGATTGTGCCTGATGTTCTTACCCGTGACCTCTAGTTTGGTGTCCAGCGCTCTGTTTGCTGTCCATCCCATCCATACAGAGGCCGTAGGTAGCTATTGTATGAACTCCATCTTTACACACTTATGTACGGATCTCAGTCGAAGTGACGCGTTACTAGATGAATACCCGTTCTTTCTACTGGTAAAAAAGAAAGTAAACAATTAATAAATCAGTGCTGTATACGAAATAATGCACAAAACTAAAAGACACATACTAACACAGTCAATATAGTGAAAAAAAAACTTTTTTCGTTAACATTTATGAGCATCACTAATTCAATACTGAACAACACTATAAAATTGTGCACAAACTGTAATACAAATATCGAAACAAATAATGAAGCCAAAATAATTCCAAAATTTCGTTTATTTATTATTATTTGTTGCTCTTCCCGTTGACATTACCTTATTATATTGAACAAAAAAATATTTTTAACTGTTGATTCCAACCTAATAATGATTAACTGTATTCAGCTTCATTTGGTATGATATTGTTACTCAACTCGTGATAGTCAAAATATTCCATAATCAAATGATTTCCTCCTGTAGAGGTTCCACCTATAGAGGTCATGAAAAGCACTTTTACTTATCATCATCTATATTAAAACTGCAGAGTAGTGGCACCGTTTTATAGGTACCAAATATACTAATTGAACTGATATTAGTATATTTGACATTAATTTCTATAATGCCAGTAGTGTTTATTACGAAAATTGATCGTTGCCGTCAATAACAGATGGTGATTTTTTACGCTTCCCCTAAGCAACTTGATACCATTTCTCCATTAATTTTGATTTTTATTACATACCTAATATTTATTAAAATTAATACCAAAATTAAACAAGATCACGGACTTTAATAATTTGCTGAATTTTTACGATTATACTAAGCGAATAAACATTTGTCCCTTAATTTTGTTTTAAAGTAGACAGCTTTTTTTTTAAAAGTTCAATTAGTTATTATTACCAGAATTAATTAAGCAATAACAACATGGCGAATTTTTACGGTTTTCCTAAAGAATAAGTACATTTTTCTCATTAATTTTGATTTTTAATGTATAGCTTATTTTTGTATTTCAATCAGAACCTAATGATAACTTAAATAAATATCATTGACCTCAAAAATGTTATGGTAACTTTACAATATTCCTCTTAAGGAATAAGTACCTTTTTTTATTATTTTTATTTTTTAGTACATAGTGTATTTCTTTTACATAGTACATAGTAAGATTTCACCAATGATTTTGCTTTTTAATTCATTTAAATTTGATATTAAATTATCTAATTTTACATAAACATATTTTAAATTTTTAACTATAAACAAATTAAGCACGTATAATATAATTTTGAAGAGAGATGACATTATAGCGACAGCGTGCAAATTTTAAAGAAATCTTTATGTTCACTTATATACCTAACTTTAAGCAGAAAATTTCATAGAATTTCAATTTTGAATTTCTTAATTGAAAATGTGTTCTTTACCGCATCTATATATCTGTTTTCAGTTCCATATCATCACGATTCTTAAAAAATAGATGCGTGAAAAAGGCGGTGCTAATGGTTGATTCAAAAAACAATATAAGTTTAAGGACATTTTTATTATAAAGTACTAGTTTTTAATACATATTCGTATCTTAGCAAATAAACTATTAAAGGCTACAAAAAATGTCTCGGTCTTTAATTTTTGCAAGAGTTTTAATGTCACTATTTTCCTCTATTTAAATCTCCTGATATATACTCAAATTAATAAAAATTTTTAAACGGATTTCTTTTGTCAAATTTGGTAAGATTTAATTTACTTTAAAGAGCTGCGTTCTACTCTAGCTTCAGTGACAGTGACTAAAGTAAATCCGTACATTTACTCTATTTTGACTAATAAAATTATAGCATTATTTCGAGGATAAAACTACGCCGCTGTTAAGATTAATGTATAAGATTGCATACATTTACATGGAACTTTATAAACTTAAGAGAAGAGTGGGGTGAGATCGGATACTTTTATTGTCTCAAAATTAGTTTTGCTCTCCAGCGGAATTACTCTTTACTTGTCAAGAAGGTTGATGGGAAGGTTTACTTAAGCCGCACTGGAGAGAGAACTGCACAATGGGCTATTGGTGACGGTCTGGGAAACATCCCCGAGAATGATCCGAAGACATGCCATCGCAATTTTGATCCTCTGCAGAGGGAATGGCTCCTCAGCTTTGGCAGCCCGACGGCCTGCTCGCGAAGTCGAGCACTTTACGGTCGAACAGTTTAACGAGGACCGATTCCATACACCCTCGGTCCCTACGCAGACTGATCAAAATGGTCCCCCACCCGCTTACTGACCGCAACTAGTGATGCTTGAATTCGGTGTTCTACTGGAAACCGTGTATCTACGATCAGTCCACTGTGGGACACTAGTCAAGAAGGATTTAACAAATTGGCGTGCTGTCATTGATTCATTTTGTGTAGATAGGATGTTTTTTCAATATGTTTCTAATGTTCTCTTGCCTTTAAACTAGCCTTATTTATTGGCTATTGCAGTTACAAAAATTATTTTTACTCCATCTTATTAAAGATTCATGTCTAACAAACAATTACCTCTTATCTCGGATACCGGGTACTTCTCCCCTCTTTCAATGTGAGTTTATGAGTGAGTTTATGCCCACGAAAACTGCAGCGGAGGAATAAGATTACTACGTTTAAGGTTGAAGAAAGGTTTTTTGGACCCCAGGACACCATTTATTACAAATTCCTTCCTCGAAGCACAAAAAGCCTAATTTTCTTGTTTGATACATTTTTTGAAGACCCTTTACACAAAATTGAATTTTTTTATTTTTAAATATAAAGAAATTCTCTAAAATTCGAATTAAAAAAACTAATTAATAAATACTATATTTATGTAATAAAATTTGGTCGTGACCTCGGCAGTTCGAGATCAGAGAAAATTCTTCTTCCTCTCCCCCTTTTTGAGTGTGGCCTTGATTATTTCACATGTAAATTACATGCATGATTTTCTTAAATTGTCGAATAAAATAGAAATGCCTGCTATCAATTATTATCAATTTACCGTAAAGTCAGCATGTGTACCCAGTCTTACCCACCCCCAGTAGGATAATTAGACTTTTTCTAAAAAAAGAAAAGGTAATACATCGAAGACTTTTTAAGCATTGTCCTTAGCTAAAGAATAAAATCTGACAGTTTCTAGATTAAACAGCTCAGCATCCAAATTATAGCCTTCTGGTTTGACATCACTTATGTTTCTATTTTGTCCCAGTTAACTTCTTTTTGTGTTTTGTGCCTGGATTGTGTTACGTTAAATTAGAACTTTTATGTTTAGAATGTTTTCCTTTTCTTTTCTGAAGGTAAGCGGAATCGTTGGGAGAGCGGAACTTCTCTCGGCAGTAGCCTTCCTCGGTGCCTTATTGTTCTACATTCAAAACAGATATCAAAACAAAAACAGCGGTAAGTCCTAATAATTGTTTTTTACTGTAATTTTATGCATAATATTTATAACTCAAAACAGCAATAATTTCTAATAACTGTAGCATTTATAAAAAAAAATTATATTAAGGTGCAAGTCATTTCCAAGCACTTTGATACTTTCAAAATTTACAACTTACCGCCTTTTATTCGTATTTACATTACTACTAGTTTAGAAAGAAGCACATCGTCATTGATAATAAAAATATTTTTAAAAAAATCTTCATTTTTTCTTTCTAAAAGTTTACTTCGAATGTTTCATAATCACTTTTAATTATTTTTAGCACAATATATTTTTTTTAAAAAATCCCTATCATTTACAATGCCCTAATTACTCCCTGAAAACCCCACTAAATGACATTTACAACAAATTATATGATAAAAGGGATATCCCAGTTTACAGGGTGAGACGCAATAACCACCCTATAATTTTTTTTTTTTAAATCCTCGTCAAAAAGTATACACATTAGAGGTCATATTTAATCGAAATCGAAAGAATATTGATTGAAAATTTGTTTGCCAGAGGAAAGCGTGATCACATTTCACGTCATACAAAAATAACTCATTCCATATTTTTCGATTATTCATCTATATTCAAGATATCCGATCTCGTTTCGTTCCACTCTCGTAAGTTGAGGGACTCCATTTCTGCTAATCCATAATAATGTCCAATCTTTTGCTTTCATTTTAGTTAAGGGATTCAAATTTCGTTCACCGGTAGACCAAACATCTTATTTTGAATGATCTAAAACATTACGCCAAAAACAAAAAATGTTAAAATTAAAAAAGGGAAGAAAGAAAAACGTCAGGTACAGAGTTGCTGATTTAAAACATGCTTTTTTTAAAAAATTTCATCGATGCTTTGGAGGCTGTAGTCAACAGAAATATACAGACTGCTTTAAAATGTAAGAATGGTTAAAGGGGACCAAAATAAGCGGATCTTGTATCTGAACGTAGATGCGGAAGGGCAGCTTTGAAGAGCTAACTCGAAGAGCATTATTGATCATAAATAAGTGAAAAGACAAAATATATAAAGGAAAAACAAACGATTTATATACAGTTAACAATAGCTTACAGGCAAATAGTCTGCAATTCAATTGAAGTTGACAATAACTTCTGGAACAAGCGACTACCAACAGAGATACAAAATCACAGCGATGCATGGATGGTTGTATATCAGTAAACAATAACTTTCTTGAACGCCATTTTCGCACACCTATTCCTTTATGAAATAATCTTATTTATGTCTTGTGGTATGGTTATTCAATTCTTTTTAAAAATACAGACGTAATAACTAAGTACATTGCGAAGGAATTTATAGTTCTTTTCAAAACTGAATCTTCTCTAAATAAAGAGGTTAGAAGATTCCAGGAGAATTAAATCCAGTCTCCTTTTACAAGGCAGGTGAGTTCAGCATCTTTAGATGTCATTAGGAAGTGTTGGTGGTCAGAGATTAATTTTTCAAAAATAGCTATTGAGAGGAAATTCTTGCACATATCATTCTATGTAACCAATCTGAACGTTAACATAAGCTCCTATGGCGAGGAAAGAAGAAGTGATTTCTACATTCAATTAAATATGAACTCACAGAGGAAAACGGATACTAGAAATTTAGTCAAGAAATCTTAGCTGAAAGAAAAAATCACCTTCAGAAGTAAAGAATATTCATCAGGGGAGGGGTAGCCCTTTATGGGTTACAGTTAAACAAAAAGTTCATACTAAAAACAAAAATCGATCATTTTAAGGTTAAATTGCCTAGCGGTTAAGAGAACCAAAACTAAAATAACTGAACTCATTCGATTAAACGATTTTCAATGCGAATAATAAACAACAAAGCTGAGTTAAGGCAGTTAATATTAAAGCGATTCTGCGCTTGTGTGAACCATCAACATCACAGGTCCTCTGTAACTCCCTTTACATTTTTGACAAATGGTTTTCGGCCACCATGTATAAGGAAACAAAACCTAAACATGTTGAAAGAAAAAAAATGATTTTTAAGATGACAGAGGACGTTAAAAAAATTCTATGCTTACTTTTTATAAATTCAATTATTTTGTTCCAGTTATAGTTTCTCAAGATACGGGAGAGTGTTTTACCATGGATGAGAGGGAAAATTTTCGCAATCTAGTGGAAAAATTTAGCTTTCACTGAATATAGTTGGATAAAAAAATTTTTTTTTCCATTTCAAATTGTATATTTTGAAAAAGTTTCATGCCACTTTCGCTGAAAAATAATTTATTACTTATTACTGAAAAATAAGTTACGTAAGGTCCAATTTTTAATCGCGCGTCCTTAAACTGGTATTTTAATTAATTATCATTAACACTTTAAATCTTGAATCAAAGTACTCGGCATGTGAAACATATTTTGTCTATTTAAGGCTGATATAAAAAAATATGTTTCTAGTATGAACAATACATATATAACAAAATATTAAAAACAAAAGAAAATGATTTTTAAGATTTTAAAGACCTCTTTACCGTTGTTCAAATCTGTGACCAGTTATTGTTGTGAGACAAATTTACAAAAAAAAAAAAGTTCTTGTTTTTCTCCTTTTATAATCAATTTTAAGAGCTAGTAAAATAAAAATTAAAAACATCAGTTTCCTTTATGACATAACAAGATGCACACGGTGATCTATAATCCTTTCACTTAAAATTTGGGTTCTCGCAAAAGATGGTCCGAATTTAACTACAGTGACCTCTCACTTATGCACCACCTCTTTTATGCACCTTTTTCATTTATACGACGATTTTTATAGGTCCCAGTACATTAGATTGGAAAATAATGATAAACATCCTTCGTTTATACGTCGCTCTGAAAATAAATTTTTCAATTATGCGCCGAAATTTTAGGCTGGCATTTTAATTTTTTAATCCTTTAAATATTTTTTCTTTTTTAAAAAAAAATGTTTTAAATTAAAAATGAAGCAAGTAAGCAATCCTTGTTACAGATAAAAAGAAATATATGTTGTTAGATCTTATTGAATTTGCGTCCCCCTGTGACCTTTTCATTTTTGCTGTTTCTTGAAAGACATTCCTTCTAAAATTTTGAATAGGGTGTCTTATCTGTGAACAACAACAATGAAAGCCCATTAATCTTTTAGAAAATGACCATTCCTCCTGTCCAGAGGTTAGTTCTACTCCTATGCTGTTTTCTAGAGAAAAAAAAGACAATTGGAATACGAAAGATGAAAGAGACCGCGATCTCTTACTAGTCAGATAAACATTATGAGTAAATAAAAGGAGGTGATCTGTTTAGTGACGGAAGTACTTGAACTTATTGTGCAGCATATTATGACATCAAGTACTTTTCTTAGAAATTTATCATGTGATGTTTCACCGCCTACCATAAAACTCAAATTTTTTGTGAAGAACTGTTCATTTATATCTAACTAAAACTTGAGGACGATGAGAAGGTGGTGGAAGATACTGACGAGATGATGAAGTTCCTCCAAAACACACAGCAGTATTGAAAGCTTTAGACAATATTCCTGACTATTTACAATTTAATTTTGCTTCTGAAACTCCCCCTTATCACATTTATATGAACTGAAAAAAATGTTTTTGAAATACGTTGTCAAAAACAAATACAAACATGTATTGAGATTATTTTGTAAGAAAATAAATTGTCTTAAGCTATGTTAATTTTTTTCTTTGTATAATTATTGTAAATACCAAAACAGTATAAATATTAAAATTTTATCTTTAGAAACATATTTATTCATATTGTCACTGCAATTTACGTTGCGTTTTAGAATTTTGAAGTTTTTCACTTATGCGCCTCTTTCACTTATGCGCTTTTTTCTCTTGGCCCCTTACACCGGTGCATAAGTGAGAGTTCACTGTATA